CGGTATAGCGATCGGTATAATGTGCTCTATAAAGGTCGTTTTTTTTTTCTTAAAGATGGTGTACGATGTATTCTATCAAAATGATTGAATATTTTTCAAGTTGATTAGAGCTCTCAGAATTGATTGCGTTTCATCGCACACTAGGTAACTTGATGCATCTGAGCGGCCTGTACTATCCGCAGAGCCCAAATCAGCTCCAGTTCTGAGATAAATTTTTTATTAAAGAGTCGATTCGAGTAATTCCAGTTGCGATTTGCCCACGATGCATTCCGGATATTCTCATTCAGATTCCACGTAGATTTCGACTTGCTCTATCGAATGTCGGAATCAGATTCACAAGATCTCAAGCTATACTTTCACAAATTGAAAAATACTGGTTTTTCATCATAAGTTACCGAGGAACCTCAGAATAATATCAGCACCGATTTACCCATGATGTGTCTAGATCTTGTTCTCAGTTTTAGTGGATTCCCTATTGCCTATAGAAAAAAAAACCAGTATTTTTCAATTCATAAAAGTATAGTTTGCGATCTCGTCAGTCTGCTTGAGGTATTCGGCAGAACATGTGACAGTGTACTTGGAACATGAATGAGAACGTCTGGAACGCATCGTGGACGAATTGCTACTGGAATTACTCGCATCAGCTGCTAATTTCATCTCTGTCTCACCCACACTCTTCGAAATTCTTTTCAGAATTTTCATGCAAAAATAAAAAACAAAAAATATGTTCATCTCTATTTCTTTTAAATAGAATTGTAAAACTATTTCAAATGAATCAACAAAAGAAAAACTAACATCTGAAAAGACTATTCATGCATTAATTCAAAATGATCTATTAGTTGATGCTAGTACATCATCTCATGAAATACGTTGTCAAAATGGTGTTGAACTTTGAAGAAATAAAATTTGTTCACAAGAAAAACTCTATTATTTTCATTATCTGTCTTTTCTTAAATTTCAAGATTCATCTGTACTAAATAAATATTTATTATGAAAATAAATTCATATCAATATCAGAAATATAAGGTAATGAAGAACATGCTCCAATACCTTTTAATTTACACATAGCTATATAAGATGCAAAACGAAGTAATTTATCTCTAGACCAAAATTCTTTTGTTAAAAGTCCACAAATAATTCCACCAATAAATGCATCTCCACTACCTGTTGTATCAATAATATCTTCTAATTGAATAGGCCATGCAGTACAATTCCATATAAGAAAATGTTCTTCATTTATATGAACAATTTCTTGTGTAACAATACTTCCATGATTATTTATATTTTCAATTGGATTAGATAATTTTTTATTTAGTTTTTCAACAAGAATACTTCCATTTTTACCACGAGTTATTATAACAAATTGACAAGTTTGAAGAAAACGTATAGCTGTTTGTATTAAAGATGAATCTTTACAAACATTCAGTGAATAATTTTCTGTTGTAATTATATAATTTACTAGTGGAATTAATTGATTTAGAAAAGGTCTATCACGTTCAAGATCAAGTGAACATAAAATAGATTTTTCTTTAGCTAATTTTGCTAATTGCAGAGCAGCTTCTGTTGAACGACTATCAAAATGAATAAAATTTATTTTATCTAAACAATTTGGATTAATCTCATTAATAAGTATTTGTTCATTATTTGCACTATATAAACATGTTCGAGTTTTTGTTTCCATATCAACAATAATATATGTTGAAGGACTTGTGATTGATGATTCAATAAGAATCAATGATGTATCAATATTTTTTTCTTCTTGAAAATTTTTCAAGATTTTTTCACCATTTAAATCATTACCAATTTTTGTTAGAAGTTTTAATTTAATATCTAAACGACTAAGACATGTTGCTGTATTACTAGCATTACCACCACCACATATTGTTAATGAATTTGTACGAAGTTTTTCATCTGGTCGAGGAAAATGATTAACTTGAGCTATATAATCAAGACAAGATGCACCAAATACGAGTATAGAACTCATTTTAAAATCTAGAATACAAATATGAAGTTATAATTGATTGGATTTAACTAGCGATGCAACTAGGATTTTGACAGTACGAACAGCTTAATTGGTCGGATTTGATCTGATAGTGACGACCGTAGCAAAATACAATTTGTCCGACTCAACGACTTTTAATTAGGCCATTAGGGATAAGTCAACCAGATCACATCGATAGATTCATTTAGAGATTTTTTTATCAAGCAGAGAAAACCTAATCTTCATTAATCGAAAGAGTTCACTAAAAGCTTACGAAAGAACTAACAGAAATGATACCCACCGTTTGAACTTATATTGCACTCACAAGTAGGTTTCGGTAAGACTAGAAAAATCCTCAAAGGGTTCGAGCCCATAGGTTTCTGAAGTCAAATTATGACCGTTTTACTGAAATTTCGATGCTGCTGTAGGTATATAGCGAGAAATCAACCAACAGAATTTCGATTTGAAGTTTTGTCCAAAGATAGGTCTAAGAACTCTGGAAATATCTAGAAAATATTAATCGAAAAGAATGCTTCTTTATCGAGATATTGAATTTCTAAAAAAATCGTTGTTTGCTTGAAAATTCGATGTCTTGATAAAGGAACATCCTTTTCGACTGAAATTTTCAGGATATTTCTAGAGTCATTAGGCCTATCTATATGCAAAGTTTCAAGTCGAAATTCTATTATTTGGTTTTTTTGGTAAATACCTAAAGTTGGATCGAAAATTCAGGAAACCGGATCATAACTCAGCTTCAGTGACCCATAGGCACGAACTCTTTGAGGACTTTTCTATTGTTATCGGAACCTTCTTGTGGATTCAATATAAGCTCAATCTACTTCTTGCTATAGTTTTCCGTCTTAGATACTAATCGTTCAAGTTTAAGTCAATATGATAATCAAGCTTTTGAACATGATATTCCAAAAATTCATATTCAACCAGCAGATGATATTGTCTCTATTCATTCACCTCGTCATATGCCACAAACAACTGAAAGTGAAAAAGTGAACGTCAAAAACGCTGTCGTATTCATTCAATATCTGATGATCATAAAATTTTACCTTTATATGATAAAAATCAACAAATTCCTCATATATATGTTACACCTCAAGTATCTCAACGTCCTGATCTATCAATTATTCATCTTCATTATGATCCTTATGAAGCAGGTGATCATGCACATGATATAGCACGTTTGAATTAAAATCAAAACATACAATAAATGATCAACAAAATAATCAATATTCATCACGTTCAAATCCGCCATTATTTTTTGATGATTCTGTAATAGCTGATCGTGCAGCAACAGCAACAGATGCATATGCAACACCAAAACGTTTAGCTAAAACTCGTATTGAAACTGATCGTGAAGCAATGATGCGTCATGATAATGGTCGAATAGATCAACGACAACATAAATTTAAGGATGATCCTGCTTATATTGATAAAATATCAAAAGATCGAGATGGATATCGAATACAAGCACGTAATGTTTGGGTGGAATCTGAAACAAACAATGATCCATTGAGAAGAAATGATTATCGAGATGAATATTTAACAGCAAAACAAAGTGTCTTAAATACAAAAAATATTATTTCATCAATACATAATGAATTACAACATATAACTTCTCGATCATCAGAAGATTATCATGCATAAAAGATATGATTAATCAAAATTTCGTAAAATTTATATACGTATGCTCTAATCTAAATACTTTTGTTTTCTGCTTGTATTGATCTGTCTTTTTTTTGGGAATGAATTTTTCTTTTTTCTTGTTAAAAAAAATCAATAGCGCTTTTTAAAATTAAGTTTGTTAATGTTTATTTCGAATCGATTTTATAATAAATCATGGTAATTTGAATTTATTTATGGAAAGTATATTTATTACATTTGGTCTAGCTAGTCTACAACTTTTACCAATATTTACTTTAGTTTATTTACAAAATGAAATAGTTATAATATCGAAGATTTTTGAAAATATTCAATCGAAAATATTAAGTATAATAGCAATGGGATTTTCATTTTGTTTGATTTTTATAAATATATTATCAATCGGACAATCAATTAGAATTATTACTTCAATTTTACTGATTATTACACTTAGTTTAAGTATTAATTATACATATAAAGATTATACAATAGACGAAGGTTAGTATTTTAAAAAATTCGATTTAACAATGAACGCTATTAACGCAATCCGTGAGGACTTAAAATGTAAAACATGATGTAGCTGCTATTTCTAATAGAAATTTAAGGTGAATTTCCAGACTTTCGCCAATTTGACTATGAATTATATTCGGATTAACAACAATTCCTTTCGACTACACATTACGGACTTCTGTCGTTCGCGAATGCCCTATTGAGAAAATTTCAGCCACTCATAGTGACCACGGCGACTAAAATTGTTCGATGGGGTTTTTAAAAAAAAACCTCAATATTCCTTTTAAATTGTGTTTCACAAAATCATTATAAAAATTTAATTGAGATGAGTGTAACAACACTTGTTTTATCTCTCAAAGAAAAGAGAATGATAGACAAGTGAAGTCTTAGAACCATTGAAGATTATTTTCAAAGAAAATCTTACAAATCAAAATGATTATTCACTAAGAAAAATAAAATCTGTAGTATTCATTTGTATTAATTTATTCTCTAAGGTAACTAATTAAAAATCTATTTAATGGTCAAGAAACTTATTCACTAAAATTTGCTATATAATTCATTTCAACTTCCTTATTCGAAAGAAATCTTTTTTTTCATATATTAGAGTTAAATATCATCACTAAATACTTAATTGTTTATTTCATGCATCATCTATTAACTAATACAATTAATAACTATATAGATTGTTTGACTAAATCGTTCAGTTATTAATAACTTTATGAAGAAAACAATGACTTGAAATAACATGAGTCATGAGGAAGTAACTTAAGATATGTATAACAGACCAAGATTACATAAATATGATGTTACAGGAGGCAGAGCTCGAATGTAATGCTAATACTTGCGATCCGAACATGTTAACTAATTGTATTATAACTTCATTTAAGACAACTTGATTCGTTATAACTCTTTCAAAGTGATTTCTAATTTAAAAAATTCTTGTTTCTGTAGTTGCGATCGTAGGCTTATCGCGATAATTTGTATATCCTTTTATGTGATTTTTAAATATTTCTATTAATTGAATCTATGTTATTAGTCCTTATCTTCTCTCAATATAATTCATTAGAACTTATATTTAAAAGAACAAAACGAGAAGCTCGTGACTATGAAATCTATTGAAATTATTAATTATCTAAATTTTTTCATTTAGGTTATTATATTACAATACCTTATTTTATTATCTATTCATGTTTTATTTTCGTTATTAGTATTAATGAATATCCATTTTTTACTATTGAATCTATTAATTTTTCTACTATGCTTATATGTTCTTTGATATGTTATATTCTATTTTCTATGAGTATTTTTCTTAGAATAGAATTTCATACAAATTATTTTAATTATATTGCATTTATTGGACTTCTTATAGGAACTTTTAATGTTATATTAATTATTAATTATAAACAATATAACAATAAACAAGAGAAATTTATTATTAATTTTTTAATACTACATTTAATACATATATATCTATATTTAGCTCATTTATTAAGTGTTAAATTTAAAATCAATATTCAATAAATATGGAGATTTTTCAATATAGATTTACCGAAATGTTTAGAGTTTTTTTTTTTTTGTCTTTTAATTTTTGATCTGGAATAAAATTTATCCTACTTGAGATGTAAGAACGTTATTTATTTCATAATAAATCTAAAAAATATGAAATTTTAGATTATTGAATAAGCAAAAAAAAAACATTCTAAGAGATTCTGATTTTAAAAAAACTTCACTATTCTATGGAGTATTTGATACAGTTTGTTATTATATAAAAATATTGATATAGCATGGTATATTTCATTTTAATTAGATAACTTAATTTAATATTAATTGTTATTCTTTTTTTATAATCCAAAATTTAATTTCTCATACTTTTGTTGGATTTAATATGTTTGATCAATTTGTATCTATTCTTTTATAAAATCAAATCAATCAAATATATAATCATTTCAGTAACATATAATCGAACTATTCTCAATAGAACACAACCAATAACAAAACTTGTTTCTAATCGTTCTGCACGATAATTATATTATTTATTCTTGAACAATTCCATTTCCGAGTGTGTTTCAACCATAAATCCATATGAGAAAAAAAACAAACACACATTGTCATTATTAATAAATTTCCTTTCAATGAATTCTATGAGTTTTGTATCACATAAAATTAAAAGACAAATCCATTACATTGTGATTAATTTTTTTTTCTTTGTTTATTTGATTAATTCATCTCTAGAACACATATATTTGCTGTGCACAAGCAACAAAAAGAAGAAAGAAAAATACGAAGATGTGTATAAATAAATAGAGGCAAATGAGTACACAAATACACTAAGGAAGAAGAAGAAAAAAAAAGGAAATCGTTTAGAAACACTGTTCGTTTTAATAGAAATCTGTTTGTATATATATATGCGTATACTACAAACATTAGACAAATAAAAATTGCACAAGATTAGTTTGATTTATGAATATATTTAAGATATATTTGATTAATAAAAACCAATAGAGAGATAGACAGAAAGAAAAACGCCAAAATTAAATATCCGCATGGAACAATCTACACAAACAAACGAAAAGCTCTGTGTACAAGATTATAAATAGAATGACATAATAATAGAGAATAAAAATGTTTTGTTTCAATGGAAAAAAAAAGAAAAAGAAAAATAAATAAACACAGAATAAATTGGAAATCTGATGATTTGCATATTTCTACTGTTCATCTTCTTGTCGAGGTTTCATTTCAAGATCACGTAGAAAGTGTCTTGGAGTTGTTGTATGATCACTACCTGTATTCATTTTAAAAAAAATGACAAAATAATTATTTTCTTTTTTTTTATACACAAAAATAAGAATATATTATGATATACTTACCAATAAATACTTCCCATTTTTTATTATTATTTTGTGTTACTTCGTATGCACAACGAAGTTCACTATAACTAACACCACCAAGAATAAAGATAATTAAACGTGGACCTGAACGAACTGCACCTTTACGATTATGTATCCAACCACCAAATTCTCGAGAACTATAAATATCAACAATAATAAATAAAATTAATCTATAATTTTTTTTTTCTAATTAAATTATTCCGCCACAACCAGAGATGTGCATCCTAACAGCTTCGCGTTTGTTAAGTATGGAACGATCGTGCCGCTCCTGCCGGTTTTATAGACTCGATGTACATCTTTGAAATATATATTTTTTTTCTCGAAAGAGAAATGAGTTGATTCTATATACTGAATAAACTTTTTAGAAAAGAAATTTGAATATGTGTAATAGATAATGATCTTAGGAGAATGAAGAATTCTTAGAATTTATCATTCATGTCAATCGATTTGAAATTTTTGATTAAACATATTTTCTATACTAATTAAATTATCATAAATGATGAAATTAATGTTTGGAAAATGTTTTATTATGAAAATTCTATTCATTTTGATCGCAAAAAAATGACTTTAATATGATCATTTAATTGTACTTTCAAATAGACAGAATGTCAATTTTCTTAGAAAATTACTTTATCGTTCGATTGTAAACAATCATTCAAAATAAATAATATTATAATTTTTTGTAAAAAATTTGACTACGATAAATTATAATTTATGAATAAATTCATTTCAAATTTACCTTTGTGCAGCATAATTAGCCGCAACATTTCTTTGACCACCAACTGACGGAAATTGTCTTTGATCCAATTTATCATCAATAATATCCTTTAAAGAAAATATTTTTGCCAAAAAATTTCATTTTACTTAAATGATAACAAAAGTAACGACAGAAATATTTTAATTTCTTAAAGAAACTTTCTTTCTATATTGATCTGATAGTAAAAATAATGATAATAAGATTTCGATAAGAGCTTTAGAATAGTTTTCATCACTTAGATTTTATGTCAAATAATCAAAAATTACATGATGCCAGTTAAAAGTATAAGCCGATACATTGATCGGCTTATATCTCTAGTGTCAGATCTGAAGTAAAAACCTTGATGAATGAGGAGAAGAAGAACAATGAGGAAACATCTAGAAGACAAAATGTAATCTAATATAATGGTCTACAGTGGGCTATTTTTATCGAGCACGTAGAAATATTAGCTTCTGATATTATTGAAAAATAAGACTGACAAAACAAAACTCTTACCCGAAATTTCTGTAAAATCAACAAAAAATGCATCATTCGATACAGATTTTTACAATGATTACAAATATTTAATTTTTCTCTCAGAGTGCTACTCTGACAAAGATATTAATAACTTCAAGAGCTGCCTAGGGGTAAAGTTATCGGCCAAATTCTTATCGAAATTTTATTCTTGAAGAATAATCAAATATCAGAGAAAATTTCTCTAAGAAATTAAAAATTTTCGTCATAATAACTTTTAGTATACTCGAAATGATTTTTACTTATTACCTCCATGATATCTTTAACATATGGTGTCCATCTTGAATTCGTATATGTTGTTTCTGTACGTTCTTTTCTTGGTTGTGGAATATTTCTTCGTCTTCCAGCCTAAATAAAAAAGTTTCTCTTAATTATCATATATATATGTACATATACATAAAAATTTTCATTGATAAACATGCAAAAAATATATTTTTTTTTTTTTATCGTATGTACGGTTTTTTTTTCTTTCCATGCTTACGAACATATACAAAGAAGAATGGAAATAAATAAACGAAAAAAAAAAAAAAAAAGAAAAGAAGAGGAAAAAAACATAAAACTATACACGTATACATCTTGAAATATATTCAGTCATGCTCATAAAGAAATATATATCAAATCACCCCTGACGTTTTTATAAATAATTCCGTAGCCATATGCATGGCAGATGTTCTGCCTAAATCCGCTGATACTCCACTTTCACGCTGGAGGAGTATGTTTTTATTTTTATTTTTGATTATTATAAAACAAGCAAAAAAAGAATTAATTTATGTTTTACTTACTCGACTTTGATCTTGAATTATTTGTAAATTAAGATGTTGCATATTTGATATAATAGTTTTTTTATCTGTTGGAATTAATGCATGACTTAATAATTTATCAAGATTTTCTTCCGTAATACCTTTCAAAAAAAATAAAATAAAATTCAAACTTCTTTTTTTGTTATAAAAATATACATAACAATATGTTATGTTAATCAATTAATATTAATTAGAAAAATTCCCCAGGAAAAAAATTAAAATAGCGATTATCCTCTTTACCGTATGTCTCCGGTGCAGTAGAACAATAACCTAAATTAATATATTTGTTTGTTTTTTATTTATAATTTCTTTTTTTGTCGCTCAAATTAATTGTAAAAAAACAAAAAAGTATTTGAAAATTACCATTTTTATGTAGAATATATAACATAATAATACGTAATTTATCTTCAATAGCAATAACAGTATCGAGTAATAATGGAACGATATTACGCATATGATCTTTTATACGTTCACCTTCAGGATCAGTACCCATTGCCAAATTCTACAAAAAAAGAAATTTACAATAGAATTTTATCTTAAGAAATAATTACAATAATGAAGTTAGTATAATGACGTAATCAGATAGAGGCTCAAATTCCTCTAAAACAACTTTGAATCCATTTTCCACCTTAGTTTTACTTAATAAGAGATTTGAATTCATTCGAAAAATATTTCCAAAGAGTCTCCACCCCTTCCTATAGATATAATCAAGGGGTTGAACTCTATGTATAACCTTATGTTCTGGTTACGCCAAAAGAAGCTTGTAAGTGCATGAAAATCTTAGAATAACACAAAAACATCAAAATCGTGTGTTAGATTTGTTTGTCATTTTTTACATATTTACCGATGGCAGTATATGCTTATGAAAACAGGAGTGATGATCTTGTTCAATTGATTCGAAATCTTTCAATATAATAAAATAGCTTTTAATTGATTGTTTAATTTAATATGATGGAAAAAAAAATTTTGTAATTTTCCAAAACTGTTACATTCATATGTAATGGTTATGAATAAGTTTGTTTGAAGAACATAGGATCAGATTTTATGTTTAGTTTTTGTTATTCAAAATGACAAGCCTTTAAGATTTGAACAATTCAATATAAATAAAATATTTTATTTAATTTTTTCAAATTAGATTTCAATAGGAAGAAAAACGCCAAGAACGGAATAAATTTTTCAATATTGATTTGAACTATTACAAATCAATGAAATTATTGCTTCGTATTCTACACCTTTTACCATTACATTTTCTTCTAAAACTTTATAATCTTTCAGGACAAACTCTTTAGAATTAGTTGTTAATCGAATAAACACCCACTCATAAGAAGCATTACCGATAATTATTTCTCATATTATTAAATTTTCAATCTGGAACACCGGAAGTGACATTAGTCTTATTAAAAATATCTTCTTCATTCATCGGAAGTGTACTTTCTAATTCTTCAAAAAAAAAAAGGGAGACAAACTAAATTATAGCTTTTCATTTTCTTTGCAAAACAAAATCTAATATTCAATATAAATGAAATTTTTCTATTACCTGTTCAACTGAACATAATTTTTCTCCTGAATCTCGATTATATGCATTCATACATTGTTCAGCAATATTAAAATGAAGTGCATATGCATTTAATTCTTTTTGATATTGTGGCATTTTTTTAATCATTAATCTAAGAAATTAAAAATCAAAAAAAAAAAACATTTGTTTTTTTCTCAAGAAAAATTAACATACGAAAGATCTTTCATTGTTGTACGTTCACCTCGATCAGATTCTTTAACACGTTTTTGTATTGCAAAATCTTTAATTTTTTTTGTAATACTCCTTAAAAAATAATAATCATTTTATAAATGAACGAAAAATATATATATATATACTGTGTAACAACAGCAATATGTTGATGACGAAGTTCAGTCCAAAGTTCATCATTTTCATCTAATAAAACTTTTTGTTTTTGTCCTGGATTTGTTTTTGGATCAACACCAGGTGTTTGAACTTCATATCTAATTACACAAGTAAAAAAAAAGATTTTTTTTTTTTCTTTATTATAAAATCAATAATTTTTTTCAACATACTCAAAAACATCATTTTCAATTTTTAATAAATCATGTGCCATAGCTTGAAATGTTAATTCATGAAGTAATGGTGAAACAGCATCAAAACCACGATCAAGTAAAAGTAAAACTGATTTTGCTTTATCACCACCCTATTATGTATGATAAATTTAGAAAAAATAAATAAGAAAATTATTTATTTACTTCGCCCATTGTTGCATCATCAGCTTTATATTGATTAAGTTTTTGTTGTACAGCATGTGCAAATTCAAGCATCTTTTCATTTTCACATCGATAACGAATTGTTGGATATTCACCAAGTGTTGCACATAATGTTGCAATTTGTTCAGCAATAACATCTAAATGTGCAGCTCGTATTTGAGATTGTGATGGATCATATGCAATAAAAAATGTATCAGGTGAATCAAGTGTAAAAACCTTTAAAATACATTTATATGTATAGAAATTATTAAAAAAAAACAAAATTCTCCTACCTGACGTTCATATGGTAAAAAGGCAATATTAACTTCTCGTAATGTTTTTATATATTTTGCACATTTTGATTGAGTTAATTTTGTAAATAATTCAGAATTACATGCTAAAACAATAAAAAGAAAAGATTAATTTTAAAAGTACATCGTGAATATAAGTCTTTAGGAGTGTAAATCTTGAAGTATATGAGCTTATATAAAATGAGCTCAAGCAAATATGCTTATGATACATATTAACAGTAGACTTGAAGTAGATAAGAAATCCTAATGAATAGTGTTGAGGTACGAAATTTTTGCTTTAATTCTAATTCTGAAATCCGTACCATCTCCTTCAGCTTTTGGAAATTGTCCGCGCAGCATCTCTGTAACTCTTTCGTTCGGATGTTCTCTATCTAATACATTCTATACTACCAACAACAAAATGCTTGCGAATCACTTATTTGGTGCTTATTGAGTAAATTTGAATCTTTTTTGTTTTTTTTAAAACAATGATCAGAACAATGAGCTGAAGAAATTTTCTGAGAACATTGTGTTTTTTTCCCCACGGTTGACTGTCCATGAAAGTATCCATCAAAAATATGATTCACAAGTATTTTCTCATGGGTAGATAGCCAGATTTCTAAACAAAAACCGGATAAGGTAGTTTTCAGATCCTAGAAGACTTTATCCGAGCTATTTTTTTAAAGAGAATAAAATGAGAGATCGCCGTATTTTCTACAATCTTCTCTTATAAAGTTAACAGTGTCGCAAAAAATCGATTAAAAATGCCTTTTTTTCGGTTTTTATGAGACACAATCTAAAAGGAATGTTGAAGTAGAAATTTGGACCTCCCTCCCACAGAGATTGCACTAACAGCTTCAATAGTTCCGACAAAGTCTTCTGAGATCTAGAGACTACCATATGTCCGATTTTCCATGTAGTATAGAACGCATTACACTATTAAAATCACTATCCGAATTTAAGTCAGATGTGCTTAACAATAAAGAAAAGATACATTGTTGTTAAACTTTTTTTTCTACCATCTTATATGTATGAAGATTTTGTATATATTCAAAGAATTCAATTAAGCTTAAAAAATAGTTTTTTAATTAGCCTAATTTTAAGATGAATTGCCCCCTCCCCCTCGCCTTCCCTTGCTATTTATCATTATAATCAAACGAAAATTAATTTAATAGCTTTTTCTAATTCTTTTGAAAAAGAAAACAACATATTTACTATTAATATAATAATATCTTGAATTTCTGACTCATTTAGTTTCTATAAACAGAACAAAAAAAAAAAGAAAAATATGATTTTAGATAACATGAAATAGTCGATAAGAATTGTCCTTGTTATTTACTGATATAGAAAAAAAGAAACAGACATATGTTTCTTTTTTGATCTAATTTATGCGTAAAAAAGAATATGTAATAATCCGAAGAATTTGATTTAATTACCTTCAGTAAAAAATACATGTGCTGCTTTATATTTTGGTACTAAAGCATTTGCTTTATCAAAATCATTAATAAGTTCGTTGACTGACTAAAAAAGAAAATGAAATTCTATTATTAAAATTTGAATTTGTTTTTTTTTTTTTTCGTTACTCTTTCAGTTGGTTGAATAAAATAAACAGCTTCAAGCATTCCTAATGGTTCGCGTTTTTTCATAATATCTTCAACAACTAAAATTTAATAATTTAATATAATAAAATTAAACATAAACAAATAAATTCTACTTGTAATTCCTTCCGACATAATATCATGCATTTTACATGATGCTGATATAATTCGTGTTGCTAAACGATCCATAACAAGAACTTTCCAATCATTCCGTTCTTTTTGTCGAACGGAATCACATCGTAACATATCACTAATTAATTCTAAATTATTTTAAATATAATAATTAATAAATAAATTTTTCTTTTTTCTTTTTATTTTCATTACTTGCTCCGACGAATTTTTGTAAACTGGACGTTGTCATTGTATTAATTTCATACGTATTAAAAATAAAAAATTTTTTTTGTATACAAAAAAAAAAAAAGAAAAGAAGGAAAAAACCAATAAACGGAGAAAATCTTTCAATTAATTTGCTATTGATTTTTATGATTAATATATATATGTGTGTATATATATAAATTATTCACTTAAAAAAATTACCAAGATTTTTTTTTTATTTATTAACAAATAGTTTTATTGAGGATTGAAAAATATAAAAATGGTTTATGTTTTTTATTCAATTCACAAATGCATTTGAATTCATTGAAAATCTTTCGATTGGTTATATATAAGAACCAATAGATAGAAGTATAGTTTATTCATTGTTCCCTTTTCTTTTATTATTTATCGTCTTAAATAGGATACAATTGTGGTTTCGGGATTCTAGAAAAACTTGGCAATTGTCAAATAATGCCTTCTGAGGTATTGTAGATTGTTGTTTTTCTTTTTTCGTAGTCTGTTTGCGTACATATACATCTTTGTATCATTGTTATACACAAAAAAAAGTTAAGAAATTCATAAATAAATGACTGGAAGTAAAACCTAAAGTTTCAATTGATGAATTGACGTAGAAAATTCATTAATAAAAGAAATAATTTTAGATTTAAAAGTTGTTAGCGCAATTCTTCCGGCATTAAAATATGAAATATAATGTAGAAACATTATTCACAATCAGATTGTGATTATATGTCAAGGTCTGTCAAGGTCTGTCACGGTCTGTGACGCCAGCAGGGAATCTAAATTTTTATTCCTATTATTCAACATTCCTCTTAAATCGTGTTTCATAAAAGTCGATAAATATATTTCTTAGTTAATCTATTAAACCTTGTTTTTGATATTATTGTCTTTTGCACTTGCATCTTGTTTTTTTCTTTTGAAAAATTTAGTTATTTAAGGACACATTTCAATATAAAAAAATAGTCGAATCAATATGAAACAAAGCAGTCTTTAAAAAAGTACATTTCATTAATATACAGAGTAGTCCATAAGTAGCTTTACGATAAAAAAGATTTGAATACCTACACTCTCTGTAGTCAATCTTCTTTTTCCGTGAAAGAGAAGATTTTACAGATTTTTTTTTCCGTAAACCTTACAGATCATAACATGAATCTGGAATTTCGAAGTATACTTTGTCGAAACCTCTACAAAAACGAGAACCAGCAAAAAGAATCCGTCGATAAAAGTATCTTGTGTATTCACAGCAACTATTCAATTCCGATTAGAATATTTCATGGAAAACATTACAGTACGATTTTACGGAAAATTTCAGACCAGACAGATTCTACCAGCAAGAATAAATAACTTTCGATTTCATTTCATTGTACTTAAGAAAAGACAGATATCTATATCGGCGGCGAGAGAAAAAAAGCAACCATGTATCGCACAATGAAACACAAAATTGAATATATGCACATATGGATCTGTTAGAGTTATTTTCTAATGAAGTCAATGATGAGATTTCGAAGCAATATTTATAAACGTTGTTTTTATGGAGAAAAAACTCTAAAGTTTCTTCTTCAATCATTGAAAAAGAAATTAGCCCTATAGAGTAGAGATATTCGAATTTTTTATCGTAAAACTACTTATGAGATAAAGTGTAAGAGGACTTAGGTTGATGTAAATATTTTCACTTCCATATTAAGAAAATTTCAGATCGAAACTCTTTAGTTTATTTATTTTTTTCGAAAAATACTTGACCTTAGATCCAAAATTCACAAACTGCATCAGTTCAAATTCTCATAGATTTTTTCTTAGAATAAGGCCCTTCATATTCACACATAATATCAGCGAATAACGGCGTGTATCAGCTCGGGAATCTTCCCTCATTAATGAAATGATAAGATCTTTCTCCATAAATTATTCAAAATCTCTAGGCAAATATTAAGATTGTCCTTTTCTGAATCAATCGTTGAAATTACACTTAAACAACCAAAATGAATATTTCTTATTAACACTCTAAAAAAAGACTTTTGTTTTTAGATGAATAATCAGAACTCAATTTCGAAACCAACTGTTATTAAACAACCATCACCAACTGTATCAACTAGACAAAAAAATAAAATGATCGATAATGACAATAGACAACAGAAAACAAATGAAGGAAATAATAATCATAATTCTAATGAAACAACACCAACAGTTGACAGTCCTTCAACAACAAGTAATGAGAAGGTAAATGCACAAGTGTACTCCTAAGTGGTCAAAATAGAGAGGCTGTCATGTCATTGTAAATCATCGAACAAAAAATTTCTCGAGATTGAGAGACAAAAGAGAAGACACAATAGAACAGCTGTTGTATATGAAAAAAAAAATCTTTTTTTAAGTTATTCATTCTATTATGCGAACAATAACTATGAAAATAGTGTTCTATAATTATTAGTAGAACTCACGTATATTTCTAAAGAAAATAATAGTGAGTAGAAGTTTAAATGGAGGTTTTTGCTTCTCCCCCTCCTCATTACAGATCTTAGCAAGTATGATTAAAGGTGCTGAACGATATAAATAACAACGGTTAGAATCTTTCTTAAAATTTAAATAGCCGGAATATGTTAAATAATTCAATTACTGATTTCTGCAAGATAAACGATATCAAGGATAATGTTTTGATTTCTCACAACTGTCATATGACTAGATTAAGTATGATCTTTTACAGATTTCACACCTCGCATATGTTATATATTAGTATAATGAAATTAAATAAGACATGTGAATTTCAATCTCAATGAAGTTGCACTAATAATCTTTTTCTTTTTTTGTATTTAGGAAACAAAAGAACATGAATTAATAATCTATGAATTTCATTTTCCTGTTGAACTTTGTGGTCGTCTTATTGGTCGACAAGGTGTTCATGTTGATTATATACGACAAATGGCACAAGTTGATTTAGTTGTACGAGATGATGCTGTTTCTTATGAAAAACAAGTTGTTGCTTTACATGGTATTCTATTAATTTTTACTTTTTTATTTTCTTTTTAAATATAAATATATATATATATATATAGGTCGTCGAGTTGATGTTGCACAAGCAATTGAATTAATAGCAAAACGTTTTCCACCTGAACGTTATCCACAAGTTACATTTAGACCTATAAATAAAAAAATTATTGTACGACAACGTCCACCAGAATGTGTACCAATACCTTCATCAATTGCTCAAGTACAAAAAAAAAAGAAAAAGAACTTTTTTAAATAAAAATAAATCATATTGACCTTTGTTTTTTCTAAAGCTTTATTTACCAGATGGAATACCAACAGAAATTCTTGTTACAAGTGTTGTTTCATGTAATCATATATTTATTCAACAAATTTTACATCCATCTTATCCTGAACTTAGTCGTCTTGATAATTCAATGTCAGTATTTTATCATCATACAGAAATGACACCACTTTTACCTCGACCTATTCAACGTATGTTTTATTATTATTCAAAAAGAAAATAATAAGAATTTTTTTTTTGTTTTTAATTTATTCAGCTGGTATTATATGTGCAGCACCAACACAAGCTGGTTGGTTTCGAGCATTGATTACAGTCTATAACAGTAATCATGATATGGCTGTAATTAAATTTCTTGATTATGGAGGTTATCTTTATGTACATGCAAATTCTTTACGTGTTCTTAGGTAAGTATTCTGTGATATTTTTCTATGATATAAAATTTTATTTTATTTTTTTTATAGACAAGATTTTATGATTATTCCATTTCAAGCTGTTGAAGTTTATCTTGATAATGTTGTACCAGCAGATAGTAAGTAATTTATGAA